TGCATGAATCTCTGGCATTCATGGTTGATGTAGATAAGATCAATGTCATTTCAATGGATGTGTGATCTATCTTAGGAGCATATCATCGACTTTCTGTGTCCAGTGCTAGCAATTTCTCCTGTTCATCAGCTTATGAGGAGCTCAGTATTTTTGTGTGATTTTTGAAGATCAGATACTTTGGCTGTAACCTAAAAGTTTGGAAGCCAATGTGCTAGAGAATTAGAAAGAATCCAGCTCATCTTTCTTAGGGAACAAGCAGACATAGGGGAGGACTTAGATGAAGAGATATTCAGAATTTTTGTTCCATTTAGATACCTCTGATTCAGTAGAATCTTGAAATTCTTAGAAGAAAGCTCAGCCATGACAGACATCTGTAACTGCTGCACCTGTGCATGGCAAGTGTTCCTGAGTCTTTGAATGCCAACTATTCCCTTCTGTAAGAAAAATGAAGTATTTGACTTACACAGTGTCCTATGGCACCTGCAAGTTTGTGAACAAAACCTGATCAAGCCTGCCTAAAGCAGCAGGACACATCTTTACTCAGTATGATTAAGGAGTAGTTAGGCTAACCTTCTCCTTTCAGCTACTGGCATGAAGTTAAATGGTTCTGCAGATCAGAAGATAATGTCTCCTTTAATTGTAATTCAACAGTCTAACACTTACTTTCGTAATAGTTATGTGATCATTCAAGAGGTAATTCAGGCTAAGAATTTAAAATTATTTTTTCCACAAATTAAAATGTTCCACCAATTATTCTTACACAAACTCACTTGAGGAGTGAACTCCTTAAATAGCATTAGACAATAAATGTAGGTACCTTGCTATTCAAAGACATTTATTTTCTCTCTTGAAGCTAAGGAGTGTACATGAGATACAGTGCGTCCTGTTCTTATTATTTTACATGGCATCCATTACAGACATTAGTAAACACCAGTTGTCAGGCTGAAGATACCCCTGGGTTTACCCACTATGGCAATTCTTCACACTGTTATCATGCTTTATCAATCTGGAAGCTGCTGTGAAGAAGAAAATAAAATTCCCCAGAGATCTGGAAGTCTTGCCAACAGATTAACAAAAAAACCCACCCTTGCTGGCTACAAATTGGTTAAAGGTCAGTTTAAAGGCTTGACAAACACATCACTTAGATGAACCAATTACAAAAGAAGACGAGCATGACAATTTTTAGCAGTAGGAAAAGCTGCAAGTGGGTAGGACTGCTTAAAACCTCTCTCTTTCTTCTGAGGCATTTCTTTGTAGTAAGGAAGCCAATGCACTGTTCTGCTTGTATACTACCAGTGTCTGTCCACACCATCCAAGGTATATTCTGAACAGAAATAAAGAAAAGAGGACTTAGTAAAAAAAATTTAAAAAAAAAAGTGAAATACATATGAAAGGTTTATCATGGGGTTTTTTTTCCAGACATTAAACCAGGTCTTACATGTTTTAGATTTTAACCTCTTGGCTCACACTATGATAACTGGCACAAGACTAGTTTTGGTAACTGAAGCACTGGCTAACAAAAAATGACTAAAAATCTGCTCATTCTAGACAGTACTAAAATGATTTATTATTCATAAAATGTAAGTACAGTTAAATTGGGAAAAAAACCATGTATTGTTTTTGAGCTCATAACAAAAAGAGCTTCTCCTGTTTTATGAGCCTCAGATTACCAAATAACCTTGACAGTTGAATCAGTGTTCCATGACAACAAGCAGGCCATTGATAAATAGCAACAAAACTATTAGACGTTGACTTTATGAGATGAGTAATAGAGAAGCTAAATTATAGGTTTATCATTTGACAAACTACAGCTTGACAAATATGTGCTAACCTACATGTGTCTGTGTGTGAATGTACATAAGCAAAAGAGAGAAATAGCAACTTTTTAAGACAAAGGTGGAATTGACATGTCATTAATGTTATAAAGGCACAAATATATTCTTTTCATAGTAGCTAAATTCCCAGTGTCCATTATCAAATACTTAACAAATCATGTGTAAGCACTTGAAAAAGCTACCACTTTTAAAAGTTGTTTCTGGTTTTATTCTCATCTTTACATTTAAGCACTGTAAGGTAGAAAAGGGGAATTGCTGGTACATGGTAGATCTTTAATCTGGCTCTTGCGAACTAGTAGAACCCAGTTAAAACTGAAACCCAGCAGTTAAAAAGTCACTGAGTGTATTCTGCTGAAGCTGAAAACTCTCTTCCCAGCCCATGGAGAGTAATTTTGCACTTCCTAGCAAAAAAGCAAAAACTATGTTTTGTCATCTTCCTGTAATCAGAGTGGAAGGCATCAGGGCTGACTTTACGACAAGTTAAATGTAATGTATTCACTACTTTTAAAATTATGCGAACCATAAAGGAAATCTGGGTGAGTGGCCGCTTGTGTACAGAAAAAGATACAATAAAGACAAGCTAATATATGAGTCTTTCATAAGGGAGAAGCTTTCTAACGTGAGTAATGTTCCTCCAGGCAGATTTGTGGGCCTCCTGTCCTGACACTGATGCAGCAGCGTTTGATTTACTGCTGTAAACTGTGGTAGTCGCAGTAGTTACAGTCAAGTGGGTTTCTTGTGCTCTCATTTCCCAGAGCAGATCTGCAGGTGGCAGGTGGCAGCAGTAGCCTCGCACTGATCTTTTCTGTGATCTGCTGACATCTGAGTTTGGCTATCCTTCACAGTTGGAGTGAAACACTGTGTTTAATAGCTGTTGTCCCAGCCCACACTGATGTTTTTATAACATTATGTCACTAGAAAAAGATTCTACTTAGCAAGAATATAGCAATCATCTTACCATCTTAACATGTTTTTCCTTAATTTAAGGGGAAGATGCACACTTGTCAGACAAATTACAGCATTAAAGCTGAAGAGTTAGATGAAGTTCTGTAACCTGTGTTGCACAGGAGGGCATACTACATGATCTAATTGGATTGTCTGTTCTAAAAATCTATTAATTATACTTTTGTAAGAAACAGCTGTATCTTCGTCAAAGGGGAATTAAACACTAGAAATTCATCTTGTCTTAAACACTCACTGTAGCTACTAGTGGTAAACTTAGAACTTGTCAAATAAAATCAAAGATCAAAAGCAAACCTAATGAAGGTTTTGGTTGATAAAAACAGTTGCACGTGAAGGGTTTTCAAGCATTTGTCATTTATTCAATTTTCCTAAAACAACATGAATTTTATGAATGACTGTTCACTAATACAAATTAAGAAATTCTTGATTGTATTTTCTTAGAAATAAATTATATATATTTGTCCCCACTACATTCATCCCTGATGTCTGTTATGCAGGCATCATTTCCAAGGGGACGCTTATACCATTGTAATTCTGACCTTTAGTATGATATTCATGTTATTCTTTATGCATAAACAGAGAAATAGTGGAGAAGCTATAATATATTCAACTACAGCAGGTGCTTGGTGTCTAGTATTCCTGATGCCCATAGCATTTTAGCTTTCAGAAGATCAAGAATATCTACTGTATTTAAGATGCATATGGTAGAATTTAACATTCTCCCTAAAATAAAGATCTTTCTATTTCCATGTCCTTCATGTTTGCAATGACGGATTGCCAAAAAGGTGCTTAGCCAAAAATGGGTATTTTTTTTTTAACAAAAAGCTCAAGTTAGTCATATGCTTTCATCCAAAACAATCAGAACCTGAGCCAATTTAGTGCACATAAGATACCTTGGAAGGATTAATTTATGCTGTTGAGCTTGTAATATGTTTAACCAATAGGAGTTCTCTGCATACATGGATTTTTTTGTAAATCTTGCAGCTAAGTCAGTGAGCCAAATGCAAAATCCAACACCTAAGGGCATCGTGTAGATTTGTAATGAACCCTGGGGTTGCCTGAGGTCGAGAAACCGTTGAGTGGATTACACAGATTCATATATGTAGTTTTTTCATCTCTGACAGATATAATGTGAGCATTATTATTTGTACTACACAAATTTCTTAGAGTACTGTCTGTGAGAGAACAATGAAATCATGCCAAATCACTTACACAAAAAGGTATTAAAAAAAGGGAGTTGAAGGTTCAGGCCTCTTCAGTGAGGTGTCCTGTGGTGTAACACCTATATGCCATATAAATTAGCTGCACGGCAGCAAAGGCTCTGCTAAATATCTGTAGAAGTAAATTAATATGCAGATCAGTAAGTGTATCTTATAGCAGCTGAAAGAAGTATATCAAATCTGCTAAAAATCTTCCTCTTTAAATACTGCCCACTCCTCTCATGTCGGTCCTGTGAAAGGCATCTAGACTGGGCAAGGCCTTTCCCAGGGGATGGCCCACCCTTGCAGATCTAGTTTTAAGTGGGATGAATTACCCTCTGGAGGAGCCTTTTTTCCAAAGTCTGTACAGATATCTGAGAAGAGTTTAAGCCAGACATATGTGGCTGGAGTTGATGAAATGAAACCAGTGTTTGGGACTGATGTTGAAAGAGGGACCCATCTTACAAAATTTCTGAAAGTACATTGAGTTTCACACATTTTGTGTTGAACTCAAGGTGTGTGACTGGTTATCCATACTGATGTGAATGTAATGGATCCAGAAGCTCAGGACGTTGTAATATAACTGGTAGTGTATTTTTGCCCTTAGCTGTTTCTCTGGATTTCAATACAGACTACAACTTTGTTCATTCTTTCCTGGGTGTATTTATATTACTGCAGAGCAGGGCTTAGATTCACATATGATTACTTAGGATTATGTTTGGTTATGGGGTTTTTGGTTTTGTCTTCCTCCTTGTTCCCTTTCCCCCAGCAGATTTTGGCATCAGTCAAAAGAAATGGCAATTGTCCATGTCGTGAACTTCAAGTACATGAGCTAAAATTAAATATCCATTAAACATAACTTGCTGAAACTGCAAGCGAATTAATATTTTGTTAGACCTCACTTTTACACTTAGAATTAAACTAGCGGATGATGATACTTTGAATCAAATTATCTCTCACTTCTCACACTTTTTTCTCTGTCACTGGTGATTGATCATTACAGTGCCTACAAATGCTCCATGGCTAAGAAGAGAAAAGCCGAAGAACAGGTATCAGGCGTTCCCGTCAACAAAAGGAAGTCCCTGTTAATGAAACCTCGCCACTACAGTCCCAGCTTGGAATGCAAAGAAGAAAATGAAGACAGGACTGATTTACAGGAAGAGATCAGTGTCCTTGAAAGCATCTCAACTCCAGGTAGTCACGCAGTGAGTCTGCGCTTGAACCTGAATTCCGCAGGAAGGGAGATACAAAGCAGTATTTAAAAAAAAAAAAAAAAAGCAGAATATGTTTGACTTCTAACAGAGTTGGAATGATGCATTTCTTTCTGGGTTTAACCAACACCTTGCCAATTATTTTGCGCAATAACTCCTCCTGGGATCTAGTAAGTGATTTGTAGGTTCACACAGAGAGACAACTGCTGCAGCAGATCAGATATGGAGCAGCATCTGCTTCTCCACTAGCTCTGTCAAAGACCAAGGTTAAGCCCACCACTGAGAAAAACACATTTATGAAGAGCAGATTTTTAGTGGAATATATAGAGCTCTTAGGAAAAAAAAAATTAAAAAACACTTGGCAAAACATTGTTGACTTTAATATTTAGCAAAGTGATTTCATGCATGTGACTGCTACGTGTCCTGTTTAACACGACTATTAGACTCAGTGCTTTTATACTTGTTATTCCAACTCTGCAAAGCCAAACTTCTCCAACAATTTATAGAAACTTCTACAATGTGTATGCTGCAAAATATGGAAGAGGATATAGCTACACTGTTTTTATTGCTTTTTCTTTGTAATATATAAGTATTCAAGATAAACAAAAATAGCAAACTAAATTGGCTGTCACATATTTGTTTAAAAAATCCTGCACAAATTATTAATCAGGCAAGAAGATATCAATACAATACATCCTACCTTTGCTTTAAAGAGAAGAGTCGTCATAAGATAGCAAAGGTCAAGATAAAGCAATATGTGATCTGTCCCTGAGAAATTAATAATCATAGATATTAAGAAAACAGAATGAACTTAAATTACACTTATTTGCTGGTTGCTACAGGAGTTTAAAGGTGATTTATTTTCCACTTAGTTTCTTGTACCAACTTCTCAAATATTTTGGAAGGACAGAATGCTATATAACCTCATCTGGCTCCCTCTCCCACAAACAGCCCATAGAACCTGGGCTGTTCTATGATTCTATGATCAACTGAGATTAGAAATTTATGTCTTTATCCACTGCAAATGGACTTTCCTTAAAACAAAACCCTCAAGTTTTATACATATGAATACTATAAAACAAATAAAAGAAGGCGGCTGCCTTTCAGATTAAGGAGTCAAATCCTTGTTCTTCCAAAATCAGTGGAGGTCTTTGTGTCACTTCTATATGGCAAAGGTTTCAGCCAGTTGCCACTTGTGTTTTAGGAAGAGTCTCTTCAGAGTTCTACATCCCATTCATGTGAAAGCCAAAAAGAGAGCTACCTCTTCAAACAGAACATTAACCAGTTTAATTAATATGCTCAGTGTCTCTGTCTTTTGGGTGACTTGACTAAGCTAAATTCATAAAGAAAAAAGCTCCACAGTACCACAATTCCAAGTGCCTGTCCAGCCTGCAAGGAGTATTTCCATCTCTAACACCAGAAATCTGAAGGGAAGCTGTTTGAGTAAGAGTTCTGCTGGGGTTCTGTTTGGGTTTTGGCTTTTTTTTTTTTTTTTTAGATATATAGATTTTACCTGATTTTTTCTTGTATTGATTCAGCCTGGTTCCTGGCCACCTAGAGCTTCCCTCAATAATGTGTTTTTCTTTCCCTTGTGCCTGTACCTTGCACAACTTGAAGGACTTGCTGAAGGGAAACCACTATGATGAGTGTAAAAGTAGAATATGTGCCATATACAGAGAAACCTAAGTTATGTAACTGGTTCTTTTTTTAAAAAATGGGCAAGTGTTGGGCCAGATCCATTGATATAAATATAGGAAAACCTTATTTGTACCTAGCCCTTCAGTCAAAAGGAAAAAGCCACCTTATTTCAAAAATATTTATTTGATACCAGTGAGATTGCTCACAACGTGCTTTTGTCAGTGATAAGACAACCTGTCCTTTTTGCATTAATTTTGCCAGCTGCAAAAGAAATTCGATCTAAAGCATGCAGCTGGTCTGGGTATGTAGGTTTATTTGTAAATTCTTAATGCTCATTTTGTTATGAACTCATGATTCTTGTCAGTTGATGAGTTAATGCTTCAGTTCATGGATTGATGCAACTGTAAACTAAGCTGAGTTTTCATTATTTTTAAGGTAAATTTACAGCCTGTGAAAGTGAAAAGCAAAGCTGGGACAGGTGAACCATTAAGACTGGTTCAACAACATTTTGTTTAATATCACATTTAAAAGTTGCTGACTATTTAAGGAGCAAAAATCTGTTATTGTACATTTATATTATTTTTCACACAGAAAAATAACTGTTACTGTTATCAGATTTTGTTTTGTTCTGAAGGGTGGAAGATTTGTTTTAAAACTAGAACTTTTTGAAATGACCCACTGATGGGATTGTGTTATTTTCCAAATGGCAGAAGAGCATATAATAAAAACTCATTTGACTAAAGTTGGTTATAGAGCCAAATCATCATTCTTACTTGCTGAGATGTGAAAAGACAGCAGACTTCTTTATTCAGAATACTGCAATGCGTGTGGTACTAGACCAGCTGCTAAAAAGTTACACTAAGGTTTACAGACATTTTTTTTAAACACAACTTTATGCACACAGTGCACAAGGCCACCCCTCCCTGCATGAGTCCAATTTTCTGAAGAAGAATAAGAATTAATCAATATTTTCTTTTAACATATAACAAACAGTTGAACCAAACAATTATGTAAACTGGAAATGACCCAAAATGCTAACAGTTTGGCAGCAGTAAAGTGAAATGCATTGTGGTGCACATGTGCATTTTTGTCCCCCTTTTCCCCTCCACAATAATCTGCACTTAATAGGAATATTTTAAACTATGTAGCTAAGCAACAGAGGTAATTGTTGCTTTCTAGAGCTTTTGTTAGGCACTCTAACACAGCCCAAATATGCATAATTAGGTATAATGTCTATAAATCATTATTGTACACATGTGGGTAGTTAAGTGGATTGAGAGAATAGTTCAATGAATTGGACATATTCACTGAAAATGCTTTTTATTTGTTTTCTGTAGTTCATAATACTTTAAAATTATCATAACCCTTTACACTTTCTCTTAATAGCTCACTGTGTTATTGAGAGAAACTTCATTTGCATTTTAGACTATGCTTAATTTATTATTTAAACCTGGAGTTCTTCTGATTCAGTAGAGGACAGACACATCTTATGAAATAGTCTGTGCTTGTTTATTCATCCTCCTTTCTAGGAAGTAAAATGTTAAATTTTTCAGTTTATGTTGAATAGATCCCAACAAAAGAATGTACCCTATAATCAGCATTATTGAAGGGGCTAGTGTTGTGACTAAATTCTTCCCTTCATCCAAAAATGCTTTTAGTTACTATGGCAATATTTACTTGATCCTGGCAAACCAGTGTCGATTTTAGAGAGATAATTACCAGAAAGGAAGATGATGGAGATGTATTTTTGAGTGTCCTTGTCAGAGGAAATGTTTTTAAAAAATTAAATGAGATACAAAAGACATATTGTCTTCCACACTGACAACCTCTCCTACATGCAGCCTCTATTACCTGCTGGCTGCTGCTTTTCTTCTGAAGAAAGATGTTTATAAAGACAGGATGCACTTCAGTGGTGTCTTTAACAAGTCCTTTATGAGTCTGTACATAACAACCATTTCTGTTTGCCTGTGCATGACCTGATCTATCACTTAATTGTGGCAATTGCAATGGTGACCACAAGCTTGCCCTTTGTGAAGTGTGGAGGTTTTTTCCATCAAGGTCTTTCAGGGGATCTAGGGTGACTGGAAAAGTAATTAGGGTCTATTTTGAGTAGATATTTGGGAATCTTAAATGAAAGAAAAGTGAAAATAGAGCAGAGGAATTTTAAAATATGTGTGCCTGCATATATACATATATGTATATATGAGCATATTATATTAATTGTGTATATATATGAAGTATCTACTTATATATGTCACATTATATTCATATGAATGTATATGGATGTGTGTGTGTTTTCTAAGATAATATATGTCTTCACCATTAGTGAAAAATGGCAACATATTTATTTCTCATATAGCTTTGGAGCTATAATATAGACATAATCTTAGAAGGGCTTTTCCTGATGCTACAAGGAGTCATTTCAATCACAGCCTTAGTGAATTCAATCATTTCAGACTAAAAGAAGATTGGTAAGTAAATATCTTGATATCACTTCTACAAGATACAAAAAGCAGTTATTCTTAAATATTTTTCTCTTGCTATTTTTTCATGCAGAGGAAAGCGCTCCAAAATCATCTGAGGAAACCCCTCATCCAGGTGTGCATGAAAATTCCAGTCAAAGAAAAGATAACTACTCTAGCTATCAAGACTCTGTGCCCAAATCTTTGATGAACATGGGAAAATTATCAAAAGATGCACCCAGTCAAACAGTGGCAGAAAATCTAAATGACAGAGGCATTCAATCCTTAAAAACAGAAAGCGATGATGCTGATGAATGTTACATGATTAATCCAGCTGAAGGAAAGGAAAAGACTGTTATTTCTGATCCAAAATACTGTTCATCTGAGGAAAATGAAACTAACTCTGAAATTATGGACAATGAGTGGGACAGCTCCTCAAATTTCTCAGAAGAAACCAGTGTAAAGCCCCATGTAACTCAGAAGTATATTGTAGAGTGTAATCAACCTAGCATACTGGAAGTTCCAGAAATTAAGAAGGAAGAGGTAGAATTTGGCCCTTGTGAAACACTTTGTGACTCAGACACAGAGCTAAAAGCACCACAGGAGTCTCACCCAGATCCTTTTGAGAAGAGAATTGAAAATTCCTTCCCTGAAAGTGAAGAAGACGACAACGAGTGCCTGTCAGAAACCACAGAAGTGTCGGTTGAGCTGGACAAAACAAAAGGGAATTTGAGTTTACTAGAACAAGCAATCGCTCTGCAGGCAGAGCAGGGGCATGTGTTTCACAGCACCTACAAGGAACTGGATAGGTTTCTTCTGGAGCATCTAGCAGGGGAAAGGAGGCAAACCAAAGTTATTGACGTTGGTGGGAGACAGATATTTAGCAACAAACGTAAGGAAGTATTTTTGGCTCTTCTTAATGGCTTAAGCGCTTATCCTGTGACTGATAGAGGATTCTGAGCTGGGTTGTATAGCAACAGTAAAGAATCTGGAATTTAGCTGGTAATTTTGTTAATTATGTACTTTTACACTAGTGCCTTACATCTAACCAGGTTAAATGCTAGGTACTTGGCTTCCTGCCAAACCGCTATGTGAAATGATCGGTAATGGCTACTAAAAGGGCTTTGTCACTGGCACTGACACTTCTTCTCCTCCTTTTCCTCCTAGTCCACCTCCTTCTCCATAGGGCGCTAATACGTACCTCCTAAATTTCAGCAGCCAAGAGAGAAGGCATTAAAACAGTGCTTAAGGAATGGTTAGGGTGAAGAGTTGGCATCTTCCAAACATACCACCTAATTCCTAAGCCATGTGTTTTCTCAGCTTAGTCTACTTCATGTATCAGCATTACATTTTGCTAGAGCCAGCACTTCTGAGCCAGGAAAGCACAAGCCGTGCTCTTCTGCCTCATTCACCATCAGCAAAATTACCAATAAGTTCCAAAATCTTTATTGTTTCTGATGGTTTGTAGCATCCTACAAAGCTGTAGGAACATTGTTCCATTTTTGGTACTTAATCAGGCTTCCAGAAGTGGAGATTTAAAAGACTGTGGTTTGATTTGTAAACTGGGCTGTCTTGTATACAGCTCCTCATTTGAGGGCAATAATACAACAAGAGATGTCATTTTATAAGCACACTCCCTACTGTAGTAAGTAACAATATATTTATCCGTCCTTTGATGTTTCCTTTTGGGCTTCCAAATATACAAAGGTCACCCCAGTATTGCTGCAATTTCTGCTACTCATCAATGTTTTGCTTCAGTATTTCTAATGCAACTTCAGAGTAGTCCCTGTGGACATTGCAACTATTGCAGTAGTTTAGTTGTCTGAAGCACTGAGTGTATCAAATAACTGACAAGTTTTTTTAGGAGTTGTAACTATAAACGTTGCAACTATTCCTGTAGTATTTGGTAAGAATATGCATGCATTTCATTTTTCTGTCTCAAGCAGTCTTTTCACTGGCATGTCTTAAGCTGTGCATGCAAGGTATTTGTCTATCTCCTTGCTAAACTACATGAATCTTTATTTGCTCAGATGACTATGGTATATGCAGGAATTTTGCAGATCCCTTTTCTTATCCCGAGACCAGCTGTGTTCACCAGGTTCACATTGGAGTCAATGTGACTTTCTCATAGCACACATAGGAAGGAGCAGTGATGGTAAGCATGGCAGAATTTGGCCCTTCCTGATTTGCCTCATATTATTAGCTGTAGTTTGCAGGTGAGTTCAGAGGTAACACTTATAGAGGAACAAACTAGGCTTTGTTTAGGTTGTATAAACACCATGTGATTTTAGTCAATGCAGTATTAGACATATAATTTTTTCACATTACATAATTAACTGGTTTTTATTTCTGAAAAATCCACCATCATATCCATTAGCTCTTCATTTTCTTTCTTGGATGCTACATCAGAAAAAAGGCTGAAATATATATTTTCCCATCTTTTCAACAACGAACCTTTCCAATTAGTAGGGGGGAAATTAAATCCTATTTTAGAGTCTGTATTTTCTGTCCACTATTGCAGCACTGTCTATTTTCAGTGATTCTGAGAAGCATGTGGGCTCCTGTTGATGGTCAAACTATTTTCTTTGGTCCTTTTTTTTTTTTTTTTTTAGCCTAAAGTCTTGCCAGGAAGTTTAACCCTCAGCTGTCCCTGGCGATCTTGTCCCTGAGCACGTCCTACCTCGCGGTCCAACACAACGAGCTGGAAGGAGGCTGCTCCCTGTGCTGGCTGCAGCTGTTTGCTCCCTCAGCACCGAATGCTGTTGGCAGCCAATCACAGATGGAGCTAAAACCATCCTCAGCAATTTATGCGGCCACTTCCTCCAGATTTCTCACAAGAGAATTTCTGGACCAGAATTCATTCCCTTCTCGCCCAGACTTTTGATCCTGCATTGGAAATCAAATAAAGGCTTTCTGACCAGTGCTTCTTGCACAATTCTAGGTGCTTGAAACAAAAATTGGGAATGCACTGCGGCCATTACAGAGTGGTAGCTGTGGGGCTGGGCTGAGACCTCGCCTTTGAAAGGGTATCGGCTGCTCCATGTTTTCACTGTCATTGTGGGCTGCTCCACAAAGCGGCATTGCCATGTGTACCAGAGGGAGCTGCTTGCCTTGCCTCTCAAATGTAAAGTGGCATGTATTCAGTTTCCTAACAAAGAACCTACAGCCTAGAGATCTGCGATATTTAAGGAATGGCTTCTGGTTGAAATGCTTTTTGTTTGTTTGTTTATTTGTTTCACACCTCAGCTTTTATTTGGTCATCCCAGCTTCCTGGAGTCTGACATTAACAGAGTAAAAGATTATTTCTGCTTTTTTATTTATTCCTTTATAGATCTTGCTGTTGGCTGATGCTGCCAGTTTTCTGGCTTATTGATTGTGGCTTCTGTCCTGTTTGAGGCTCTGAATGGAATAAATGACACTGCAATCCTAAAGCTATATAGTTTAGCACATAAATGGCATATTGGGAGGAGGGACCCATTGTTTAAAGGACACAGTGTGAAAACCTAAACTCATGCTTAAATCGCATACGTCTCTGTTAAAAGTTTGTGTAGGAATTACATCTGAAGTACAAAATAGGGAGTATCATGCTGCTAGGATCACTCAGCTGAGTGCAGACAGGGGCTAAAACCAAACAAAATCCGTATCTGATTTCTCTGCAGATTCACCCAGGCCTGAAAAGAGGGAAACCAAATGTCCTATACCAGGATGTGATGGCACAGGGCACGTGACTGGGCTGTACCCTCACCACCGCAGTCTCTCAGGCTGTCCACATAAAGTTAGAGTGCCACTAGAAAGTGAGTATCATCACCCTGCAGTCCAGAATAACAACTGGATCTGGCCCGGCATTGTGGAAAGGAAACCCACTTTTTCTGGGTATGACTGCAGAATGAGGCTGAGAGAGGAGCCATTGCAACTTCTTTTCCCTCCAGCTCTTAGTCAGAATCCTACTTCCCACACTTGTGAAGCTCAAGTACTCCTTCGCAGTAGCATTACAACCAGCAGTAGGCTGCTCAGGTGGCCTGGGAAGAATAAGATCAGAGCCAAACTATCCCCATGCTGCCAGCAGACCTGCACATTGTAGTCTTGTTATCTTCAAGATCTTGCTTGCCCCATGCCTTTGCTAAGGCATGCAGCACAGAAATCACCTGCTTGTTTCAGGTCTGTGACCTGATTTGCCGCAATCACACACCAAGACTGCTGGTTTTCATTGCCAATAACTGAGAGGCCTGGGCATGCTTATTCAGAGATGTTTCCCGTGTGCCCCCTTCCATGGAGCTCAAAAAGGTTACTTCCATCGGTACATCCCAGCGTTGGTCCACAGCACGTCCCTCTTGTGCTAACCCTTTTACGCCTAGTCTAGCCTGAATTTCTCTGCTTATTTCTAACTGTGAGGATCTGATTACATTGGTTTGTGTGTGTGTGCAGTCTGGCAATATGATGCAATGAAATGCTGCATAATAAGCCAAAACCTAATGTGAAACTATTCGTTTAAACAATCTAGTTAGTCAGATTGTTTTTTGTGGTGGCACGCATAACAACAAATTAAAAGGATACTTGTACTTTACCAACGTCCTGTTCCCAACTGTAGCTCTCCCTTTTTTAAAATCTGGTGCTAAACCATATTTATGGAAACATCTGCTGAATTAAGCATGCTGTTGCATTTGGAAGGCCTTAGCAACATTAACTTTCTAAAAAGTTAAAATTAACAAGTTCGTGTTAATTGTCACACTTCCAATCATCTGTGTTCTGTCCTGGTGGGGGGGGGGAAAAAAAAAAGTAATTTGTTTTCTGACAGAATAAACCAGTTGATGGAACAGTCAGCTTTTTCGAAGCACTGTGCACCCAGAGGAGTAATGAAGTCATAAGGGCAGACATACAAAGACATATTCTGTTTTACACAGACATACATCTCAATCTCAGATGAACGGCATTAAAGGGCATAAGAAACATACATACAAGAGGTTGTGACCACTGATGAGAGCATAAACCGCTGCTTGGGAGCATGACCAATTGGCCTAAGGTAGTTTCAGCACAGATCAGATGATTAGAAGGTATCAGGGTTCAAAGGGGGCATACTCAGATCAGGTCATCCTATTCAGGTGCAAGGCATAAAAGCTTCCTGTACCTGAGAGCTTGCCCTCCCTGCAACAGGGAGGGATTGCAGTTATCCTTAGCACAGCTCTGTGGCCCAGGGCTCCCCTATCATCCTCCTTTTCTAGTCAACTGTTAGTGATATATGAACCAGAGAGCAAAGGGCTTCATGATGTAATGTCCTTGCTAACCTCTCCCTTTATTCTTCTGAAGACCCTAGAAACAATAGTGTGGGAAGCCACGCTACAACTACATAGGGATAAACTGGCCTTCCTTTATTGTAGATACTATGTTTTTCCTTTTCTGTTGTGGTTAAAATGTGACAGAATTGAGAATCAGTTTGAAGAAGAAATGTTCATATTTCTAAATATATGTATTTTTAATTGATGTATGTTATCAGGAAATTTTGTTCTTATTCCTGTTTAGTTCTTGCCATGCATGAAAATGTTTTAAAGTGCCCCACCCCAGGATGCACTGGAAGAGGACATGTCAACAGCAATCGCAACACACACAGAAGGTATATCAGAAAAGTTTTTATCCATGTAAAATCTAACGTACTCAGGAGTAAATTGATGGGCACATCTTAGAATTAGACATTATGCACTACACTGCAGAATGGCTATGAACTGCAAGGGTAGCCTGTATTATTTATAACCAAATACTTGTGTTTAATTTCATTATATGAAAGATGGCTGCAGTGCTGGGGTTGGCAAATTCTGCTAGTCTTTTTCAAAGATGAGATTTAAAACTACACCTTCATTACAGTCTTCACAGTGAAATACTATATTGAGTAGAAATGAACAAACACGTTCTTATTGCTACAATTGGAAAACCCAGCAGAAACCAAAGACTTTTTACACGACATACATGGTAGTCTATGGCAGGAACTTTCCATCAAGGAACATTCCCTTTGAGCAAAACAGGAAATTTTAAGAGGAATACTTTAGAATCCCTGTAAAAACTAACTCAATTTA